CACACACACACACACACACACACACACACACACACACACACACACACGTGCATACACCCTTTTTTTCTCCCCTGAATCATCTGAAAATAAGCTGCAGTCATCATGATATTTCACCTCTTAATATTCCAACATGCATCTCTGAAGATTAAGGACGTTCTCTAAATAATCACATATAATGATCACATCTAAGAAATTTCATAAAGATTTAATAATATTTAAAATATAGTCTATATTTAAATTTCCCCAGTTGTCCCCAAAATCTCTTCTGTAGTTCCAGGATCCAATCAGAATTCACACATTATGTTGGTAGTTCTGTCTCTTTTTAGGCTCTTTTAGTCTCTAAAATAATTCCAGCTCCCCTTCGCCCTACTACACCTCCACCCAGTATATTGACTTTTTTGAGGAATCCAGGTCAGTTGTCTTGTAGAGCGTCTCACATTCTAGATTTCTCTGATTGATTCCTCATGATCAGATTCAAGTTAAATGTTTTTGGCAAGAACAGGTGATACTGTGTACTTTTTATTGTATCAGAATGGTATAGAAAGATATACTCAGAGATATCTCACTCCCATCCTTATTCTTTCTACCTCATTCCCATCCATCTCCCGTGGGTAACTTCTTTATTAGTTTCTGTTTTATCCTTCCTGTACTTCTTTTTGCAAAAAATAAGCATGTATATATAAATTTAAAATGGATCCCTATTTGTTTCTATATGTTAAGATTCAACAAACTGTGGCCCACAGGCCAGCCACCTGCTTTTATACAATTTTTAAAGGTTACTTTCCATTTATAGTTATTACAGAATATTGGCTATATTCCCCTTCTTGTTGTACAATACATCCTTGAGCCTGTCTTACACCCAGCAGTTTTACCTCGCACTCCCCCACCCTATATTGCCCCTCCCCACCCTCATTCCCCACTGGTAACCACTAGTTTGTTCTCTGTGAGTCTGCTTCTTTTTTGTTATATTTACTAGTTTCTTGTATTTTTTAGATTCCACATAGAAGTGATATCATACAGTATTTGTCTTTCTCTGTCTGACTTATTTCACTTAGCCTAATGCCCTCCAAGTCTATCTATGTTGCTACAAACAGCAAAGTTTTGTTCATTTTTTTTTTTTTTTTGTTGTTCATTTTTTTAATGGCTGAGTACTATTCCCTTGTATCTCTATACACCACTTCTTAATCCATTCACCTGTTGATGGACATTTAGGTTGCTTCCATATCTTAGCAATTGTAAATAATGCTGCTAAAAAAATTGGGGTACTTGTATCTTTTCAAATTAGTGTTTTTGTTTTGTTTTGTTTGTTTTGGATATATACCCAGGAGTGTCATTGCTGGGTCATATGGTAGTTCTATTTTTAGTTTTTTGAGAAACCTCCATACTGTTTTCCACAGTGGCTGCATCAATTTATATTCCCACCAACACTGTATAAGGGGTCCCTTTCTCCACATCCTTGCTAACAGTTGTTATTTGTATTCTTTTTGATGATAGCCATTCTGACAGGTGTAAGGTGATATCTCCTTGTGGTTTTGATTTGCATTTCCCTGATGGTTAGCGATGCTGAGCATCTTTTCATGTGCCTGGTGGCTCTCTGCATTTCCTCTTTGGAAAAATGTCTATTCAGTTCTTCCGCCCATTTTTTAATCAAGTTGTTTGGTTTTTTTTGATGTTGAGTTGTGTGAGCTGTTTATATATGTTGGATATTAACCCCTTATTGGTCATATCATTTGCAAATATTTTCTCCCATTCAGAAGGTTGTCTTTTCATTTTGTCAATGGTTTCCTTTGCTGTGAAAAAGCTTTTAAATTTAATTAGGTCCCATTTATTTATTTTTGCTTTTATTTCCTTTACTTTAGGAGAGGATCAAAAAAAAATATTGCTGCAATTTATGTCAAAGAGTGTTCTGCCTATGTTTTCCTCAAGTTGTTTTATAGTATCTGGTCTCACATTTAGGTCTTTAATCCATTTTGAGTTTATTTTTGTGTATGGTATTAGAGAATGTTGTAATTTCATTCTTTTACATGTAGCTGTCCAGCTCTCCCAGCACCACTTGTTGAAGAGATTGTCTTTTCTCCATTGTATACTCTTGCCTCCTTTGTCATTGATCAGGTGACTGTAAGTGCACAACCACCTGTTTTTATATATCATGTTTTATTGGAACACGACCACACGCTAAGTCTACATTTTATTTATTTATTTTTGTTGTTGTTTTTGAAGTAGAGTTGATTTACAATGTTGTGTTAATTACTTCTGTACAGCAAAGTGACTCAGTTATACATACATGCATTCTTTTTCAAATTCTTTTCCATTATGGTTTTATCACAGGATATTGTATACAGTTCCCTGTGCTATGCAGTAGGACCTTGTTGTTTATCCATCCTATATATACCAGCTGGCATCTGCTAATCCCACACTCACAGTCCTCCCCTCCCCAACCCCCTCCCCATTGGCAACCACCAGTCTGTTCTCTATGGCTCTGATTCTGTTTCTGTTTCCTAGATAGCTTCATTTGTGTCGTATTTTAGATTCCACATATAAGTGATATCATATGGTGTTTGTCCTTCTCCTTCTGGCTTTGCTTAGTATGATAATCTCTAGTTACATCCATGTTGCTGCAAATGGCATTTATCCATTATCTTTATCCATTCATCTGTTGATGGACATTTAGATTGTTTCCATGTCATGGCTATTGTGCATAGTGCTGCTAGGAACATAGAGGTGCCTGTATCTTTTTGATTTAGAGTTTTGTCTGGATATATACCCAGGAGTGGGATTGCTGGATCATATGGTAGTTCTATTTTTAGTTTTCTGAGGAACCTCCACACTGTTTTACACAGTAGCTGCACCAACTTACATTCGCACCAGCAGTGTAGGAGGGTTCCCTTTTCTCCACACCCTCTCCAGCATTTGTGATTTGTAGACTTTTTAATGATGGTCATTCTGACCAGTGTGAGGTGATACCTCATGGTAGTTCTGATTTGCACTTCTCTAATAATTAGCAATGTTGAGCATCTTTCATGTACCTATTGGCCATCTGTATTTCTTCTTTGGAGAAATGTCTCTTTAGGTCTTCTGCCCATTTTTCGATTGGGTTGTTTGTTTTTTTTGTTGTCAAGTTGTATGAGCTGTTTGTATGTTTTGGAAATTAAGCCCTGTTGGTTGCGTCGTTTGCAAATATTTTCTCCCATTCTATAGGTTGTCTTTTCGTTTTGTTTATGGTTTCCTCTGCTGTGCAAAAGCTTGTAAGTTTGATTAGGTCCCATTTGTTTATTTTCGTTTTTAATTCTATTGCCTTGGGAGAAAGACCTAAGGAAACATTGGTACATAAATGTACATTTTAAAATTTAGATCTCTGATCCATGTGGAATTAATTCCAGTGGGCCTTTGAGGAAGTGATCACAGTGATTTGTGTTGGGACAAAAGCCGATTACAGTGGGTTGAAGAGGAAGGTGGAAGTGAGGAAATGGAGACAGTGGTACAGGCTCCTACTCTGAGAGGGAAAGGAAAGAGGTGGGGCGGTATTTGGAAGGGGGAGTCTGTGTTGAGATTCGTGTGTGTGATAAACCTGGGGAAAGAGTGATTACAGATGAAATAGGGGGGTGTGAAGGAGTAGGATCCTGGAGACATAGGATAAGACCTTCCGAGAGAGACTAATTAACCTTGGACAGGAAGAGGCAGGGACATTCTTCCTCCAGGACAGGAGGGAGCTTGGAAAGGCTGGTAAGTTATCAAAAAAGGCTGAGGGGAGTAGGGAACTGGGGGAAGAGGCCATTTTGAATTGGCCTGCGTTTTTTTTTTTCTTCTTCTTTTTTCAAAGTGGGAAGGCAAACAGTGTTGAGCTTATTGGAGCAAAGGAGAGCTGGCATCTGGAGGCAAGTAGAACACATTTGAAACAAAGAGGAAAGGGGGCCAACTAG